AACTTCCAAATGATAAATATATAAAAAACCTAAAAAGAGGAACATCAGTTGATAAAGTATCATCATATGGAATCGCGCCATTGTCTTTAGTTTTGTGGAAGGACAATAAAGTGGTTACACTTTTATCCACATATTGTGGGAAAGATCCAATTTCTGTTTTAAAACGTTATGATAAAAAGATGAAAACTCAAATAAGAGTAGATTGCCCATTTTTGATTAAAAAGTATAACCGTCATATGGGTGGTGTGGTTTTACTTGATAGTCACATAGGCAGGTACAAAATTAAAATTAAGTCTCGCAAATGGTATATGAGAATATTTTACCATCTGTTAGATATGACAGTGGTTAACTCATGGATCCTATATAAAAGAGTTTGTAAAGCTAAAGACATTGCTCCCAAGTTTACTTTGGCTGGTTGGAGAAAAGATCTTGCTTACACATTGTGTAAAATTGGTGAAGTAAGACCGAAAAAAAAGGAAGACCCTCTACACCACTGCAAAATAAAATAACTAGTACTAGGCATCAATCGTTTAGACCATCAAAGGATGTGAGAATAGATCAAACAAGTCATTGGCCAATTCGAATAGATAAAAGAAAGCGATGTAAATATTCAAACTGCAAAGGTTTTACAAACAACCAATGCTCAAAATGTGCAATTTATTTGTGCAGCAACAAATCACATACATGTTTTCAATCATACCATAACAAATAGGTTGAAAAAATAAAATTCCTTTTCTTTTTTTTTTTAACATTGTATAAAGTTTATAAAGTTAAAGTTATGTTTAAATATTTATAATGTTAATTTTGGTTTTGTTTAATATATTTTATCTTATTTAATTAAGTCCTGATGAAATTTAATATTTTGAAGTCATTTGGGCACACTGTATCAATTTTGCAACATGTTTAAAATTTGTGATTTTCATAGTAAATATGGCTTGTATAATTTTTTTAATATTTTTTTCAGATTCTACGCCTTAAAATTAGTTTAACCCTTCAATGCCAAGTGTTGCATTTTTGCAACATCATTTTCAATAGTGCATGATAGAAACTGTTTACAATATAAATACATACAACAACATCTAGCGGATAAAATGTGAACTAATATATTGATTTATACCTTGTTTACTGTTTTTAATCTAATTGTTTTGTGATTATTCGAAATCCAAGTTCAAAATCTGATAACATGTAATATCACTGTTTTTTCATTTCACATACTAATTTATTGTATTTTTAATGAGAATTTGAATAATATTTTAATATATTTACAAACATAAAGGTATATACTTTCGTTATAATTAATAACCTAACCATATTTATTAGTTATTAAGAATTTATGAACCGTTTTTTTCATGTTGCAAATCGGCAACAACGGTCGCTGCACGTAGTAAAGGTAGTAAGGATTATTTGTATCATGTATTTTTTTTTAGATGAATCGTATTCACGATGAGGAAATAGAAAACATTCTCTTTAATTTAAATTGGAATGATAGTGAAGATGGTGCAGATTTATCTGATCTTGATGATATCCCTGACAGTAATGAATATTTTAACCATATACTAGGTAGTTACTATAAAGTATTATGATAGTTTAGATGTACAATATAGGATTTTGCTTATATAATATTTATTTTAATTTTTAAGAAAATGTTGATGACAGTATTGATATTCAGAATTTACCATTAGAAATTATTGAAGAGGATGGTCAGGTTATACCAATCCCTTCCACATCAATTGAATTTCAACCCATTGAACTTACATATAATGCAACCATTACTTCAACAAATCTGCGTCCTAATAAGATTAATAAGACTCCAACCATAAACACCCCCCAATCAACAAACATTAGTCCTCCATTTGGAACTGTATCAGAAAATATTTCTTCCATTCAAACTAATAATATAGTATATGAGACTGAGCAAATAAATGTTAGAGTTAGACCACAAGTGTTGACTAGACCAAAAGAATTGTTGAACATGAAGTGGAAAAAGGGTTCTTTTCAAAAATCAGAAACTATTTTATATGAAAATAACAAATTGCCTAATAACATTTCATCTATGATTGACCCTTTGGAATTTTTTATGTATTTTTTTGATGATAATTTATTTTACAAAATTAAAAATGAAACAAATTTATATTCAACCAAAAAAAATTCTAATAAACCTATAAATGTGACTGAAAATGAACTAAAAAGATATATTGGTATATGTATTTATGCTTCAGTTTTACATGTTCCTAAAGTTAGAGACTACTGGAGTATTGAATTAGGGTTCTCTCAAATATACAAATGTATGAGTCGTACAAGATTTGAAGCAATTCGTTCCTGTTTACACTTCAATGATAACTCTAAATTATTACCTGTTACTGATATTAATCATGACCACCTTCACAAATTAAGACCATTAGTTGATTATTTGAATAATAAATTTAAAAGTGTACCATATCGCCAAGATCTTTCCCTTGACGAACAGCTTTGTACCACAAAAGCCCATTCATATTTAAAACAGTATTTACCTGCTAAGCCCCACAAATGGGGATTCAAGCTTTATGTTTTATGTGATTACAAAGGCTATGCATATAATTGTGAAATATACACTGGTCAAGAAAATCAACCCAGGTTTCGTTTACCTTCAAAACCAGATTTATGATCAAGCTCCAATATAGTAGTCCGTCTATCAAGAGAGGTACCTGAATATAAAAATTAGAAAATTTATTTTGATAATTTTTATACTAGTGTCCCAGTTATGGATTATTTACACAGCAGAGATATATTGAGCTTAGGCATAGTACGCACTAACCGATTACCAAACTGTAAATTAACCCTACACTGCGCAACGTATCATTTATGATACATTTGAAAAAAACAGTGATTACCACATATAAATATGAAATTTCATTTTTATGACGATAATTTAGTGTTTCTTATCTATTAACCGAATTATTATTCTTATTAAATTTCCCTCCAAAATAACTGATTGTAGAAGTTTTTATCACTTTAATACTGAATACATATTCAGAAAATAACAGATTTTCAAATGATGTTTTTTTATTGATCTAATTGTTTTATGCGTTGAAAAAAATTATAATTTAAATAAGTATATTGTCAAGATTAAATAAATACAGTGGTTTACGACGATTTCTTGGTAAGTATATGATTTATGTAACTTTTTTTAAATGTATCTTATATGATACATTGCGCATTGCATGATTTTTCTAAATGTATCACCCATGATACATTGCGCATTCATGGAAAACAAATTGAAATATTATATTATATTTATACATTTTTTGCATGCCAGCATAATTTTTATTTTAATTGCAGTAGCTTTTGAATTTTATTTTTAATGATGCCTAAACCTTTAAGTGAACAAGAAATGTTAAACTTGTTAGATTGGAATATGAGTGATGATGATTTGGAAGATTCTAATGATGAAGATGATTTAGGTATACCTTCTATCATTTCATTATATTTTAAATTCTGTACTTAAATATTCAGCTTTTTTTTAAAATTTTGTTTTTAGTTAATGTTGTAGAACAATTTGAAAATAACACTTTACCATTAATATTACCACAGGAATATGATGATTTAGGTATACCTTCTATCATTTCATTATATTTTAAATTCTGTACTTAAATATTCAGCTTTTTTTTTAAATTTTGTTTTTAGTTGATGTTATAGAACAATTTGAAAATAACACTTTACTATTAATATTACCACAGGAATATGATGATTTATTGAATGAATTTGATGACACTTTAGATATTGCAAATTTGCCCATTGAGTTCAATAATTTTAATGGTCCAAATGAACAAGAATCTAACATTTTGCCTAATCAATCCCAACCTGTTCAAAATAATGTACATAATTTCAACACACTAAAGGTTAAACTTTCAGCCATAAAATGGAAAAAAGGGAACTATTGTCCTCATCCACAATCTTTAGAACATACTAATGTCGAGCTTCCTAATGATATAAAAAATTTAAAGACTCCTTTGGATTATTTCTCATATTTTTTTTCTGAAGATTTATATGAACAAATAAGGCATCAAACACATTTATATTGTAGTCAAACTAATGTAAATAAATTATTACATCTGACTATAAATGATTTGAAAAAGTATGTTGGAATTTGTATATTTACTTCTGTGGTCCAAATTCCAAATGTCCGTAGATACTGGAGTAATCAAATTGGATTTTAATACAATCATAATACAATGCCACCCAAAAATTTTAGATTGGACCTAACTGATCACTGGCCAACTTTTACTCAAACAAGATTTCGATGTAAATTACCAGGCTGTGGAAAACTTTCTTATTGTATTTGTACAAAATACAGAAACCATTTTTGTTGTAATGCTAATAGAAATTGTTTTCATGTTTTTCATACTGTTCCATAGTAGGTTGTGATTTTTTTTTATTATTATTATACTTTATAAAACTGTTATTAATTATTATTATTATTATTATTATTATTATTAATTCTATATGAACAGTTTAAAATTTTTATTATTATTATTATTAATTCTATAATATTAAATGTCATTAATTTGTATTTTATTGACATAAAAAAGGTTGTGATTATTATTATTATTATTAAACTGTATAAACTGTTATTAATTTGTCTTTTGTAGACAGAAAAAAGGTTTTAATTTTTATTATTTTTATTATTATTTAACTATATAAACTGTTACTTTTTTTTTATTATGTTTTTTGATAGTAAAAATATTTATCAAACAATAAAATAACAAATTGATGGAAATTACTTATGAGATTTGAATATTGTCAGTCTATAAAAATAAGTAATAATTAGTTAGCGCTAATGCGCAATGTATCATTTATGATACATTTGCAAAAATGCCAATTTTAGGCTCAAAATGTATTTTATTTGAAAAAAAATATTTTTCCAGTATAGTAGTATAATATTTACATAAAATTATTATTTTTAAAAAAAAATTTTGAGTATAAAATTTAATTTGCTCAATGTAGAGTTAAATGATTCAAAAATGCAAAAAAAATTGTCAAGAGGAAAATCTGTTGAATATATTTCTTCATATAAAAATACACCTATATCAGCATTAACATGGAAAGATAACAAGCCTGTAACATTATTGTCAACTTATGCTGGAAAATTACCTGAAACTATAGTAAAAAGATTCAATCGCTCTACAAAAAGTAAAATTGAGGTAGCTTGTCCATTTGTTGTAACTGAATACAATCGCCATATGGGGGGAGAAGATTTATTAGATTCACTCATAGGGAGGTACAAAATAAAAATGCGTTCCAGAAAGTGGTATATTCATTTGTTCTACCATTTCATTGATTTGACAGTTGTAAATTCATGGTTATTATATAAGAGGGTCAAAGAAGAACAGAATTTACCTGTGCAGTTTGAGCTAGCTGACTGGAGAAAGAATATAGCATACTCATTAACAAAATCAGGAGATTTCAAGAATCAAAGAGGACGTCGTTCTATATCTATAGAAACTAAAAGGGCTTCGACAAGGGCTTTGGCTATGCACTCAACTCGGGCAGTTAGAACTGATGGTGTTGGACATTCTCAAATAAGGGCTGATAAACGAGGAAGATGTAAATTCCCAAAATGTAATGGATACACCTGGATACAGTGTAACAAATGTAATATTCTTTTATGCAACTCAAAGACTAAAACATGTTTTAATAGATTTCATGATGAATAATCTGTGATAAAAATGTTATTTAATTTTGTTGTATTATTATTATTTTAGTTATTCTGTTATTGTTTTATAATTCACAAGTATTTCAAAAGTGATGAATTTATTTTAAAAGTTGAAGTTTTTATGTTAATTTTATTATTATTATATATTATTTAATATTTTAAAAGTTTAATTTATTGTTATTATAATACAATTAAAATAATTATTATTTTTTACAATTAACATAATAATTTATGAAATACAAATATATATGGTTGCTATTGATTATGACAAAAGTGAATTATTCATGTGAAAAAAAATGTAGGTGTTATAAAATTTATTGATATCATTTTTGCCCACTGTTGCAAAAATGCAACATACTTAAAAACTCAATTTTGAGTTTTAAGATAGAGTTTGTGATTTTTTTCATTATTTTTCCTGAATTGCTGGTATGTTAATTAGTTTAAAGAGATTTATTTAAAAAAAAAAAAAAAATCGTGCATTTAAGGGTTAATATAAGATATTAAAAAAAATTGTATTTGGTGAATAGGTAATACTAACATTAGTAAGTTAAGTATATCACATTGTAAAAGTTTTGCATGTTTAAAAAAAAAAATTGTAAATCACTAACCAAAGTAATAACTAAATTGTATTCTGTTTTAGAATTAAGAAATATGATGTAAAAATTAAATGTTATAAAAAAAAAAAAATGTTAATATTTACTAAATGTTTAATGTAAAACATATATATATTGAGAATGTTATGTATTGTCAAATAAGATGTGAAAATATTGTAATTATTTAAAAAGCTAGAAAAATATTGGAAAAATATAAAAGATTTCTGTATTGCAAACCAAAACCTTTCTTTTACTGAGGAAATGTTATGGGCTACCATATATAAATAGAAACAGTGTGTGATTATGTAACACAATATTATATGTATTGCATAAGACATTATATTGTTATATTTAAAACTAATTGGTTGTGAGCCGATTAATAGTTGGAAGGTGCGTTAAATGTTAATCTATATTCCTAGAATAGAGACAAGGCCTATCGCTGAATATTGCCAAAACAACAAGTCTTATGACGTTAATGGAGCAATATAAAAGGATGATGAAAACGAACTCAAATCAGATGAGTTCTAGTCACGGAACTGCAAGCTACTTCACGTCACTTAGTAGTAGAATTTGGTTAAACACTTAGAATTAAAAAATAAATGTATTAAATATATTAAAAGTTCAAGTCTCATGTCTATCTTTGACTGCACAATTTGGAATCGAGCCAGTGACACATAACAAAACAGTATTTATGGTGTTACAATTTGTAGAACTATGTAATGTCGCATCCTGCGTAGTCATAGAATAATAATTACATAATAAGGGAGTTCTAGGAATATTGAAAACCACACGCGTGGATAAGTTACATTGTTCACATGGTTATTTATTAAAAGAATATAAATATCAGAGCCACATACGTGGGTGGGTTAAATCAAAATAATAGTGACCACATCCTGGATCTTTGCATTAAGTAAATATGGGCTGGTCAAGCACATACAAAATCAATAAATATTTATCATATTTTTATAGTGCACACACAGAATCAATAACAACTCACCATATTTTTATTATCATTTTCATATACACACATATACTTGCATATATCGGATATAAAAGGGACCCGAAAACAAGGGAAAATCAGACGAGTTCTGGCTATGCGACACTAAGTACCTTCACGCTAGTGTATGTCATAATCTAGACATAGAATCTTAACAGCTAAATTAAATATCAAGACTTAGAAACATTTTTAATTATTTTATAGTTTAATTTCTGGACTTAGAATATTTTCTACGATTTAAATATTTAGACTTAGAATATTTACAACTAATTCAAATTTATTATACTTAGAATAATTTTAACAGTTTAATAAACCAATTTCATTACTATACCTACATCCAAGCGTTGACTAGATGACTAGTAACTAAAATTAATGATCAAATGGTTGGCACGCAACAATAATATAAACTATGAATATAAAATTTTAAAATATGCAAATAATCTAAAGCGGTTCTATAACATTATATGAACTGTAGTAATTACTCACCAAACCTATAAAGTATGTTGTTTGCAATGAATTTCATTTTAATGCAGTACGTCGTAGTGATGAGAAAGTATGTGTTACTGCAGTGATGTCCATTGTTATAACGGAACAGCATAATTCACCATTGACATTGCTGCGATCTAGAAGAACGAAGCGATTAATTTATTTTATAATTTTCACACTAACGAGTAAATTAACGATAATTTTAACACTAATCCGGAGACCCACGCGCACAACAAATTGGAACATTACATACGGTGTTAATAAGTCCTATTACTTGCTACAGTAACGTAGACAAAAAGAAACAACGACAAATCGATAGCATACGGAGGAGAATATTAACGAAGTAGAAAAACAGATGTAAGTAATGAAAAATAATAACGAAAATATTTTACATAAACGGACCAGTGTTATAGAAAAGTGTGAACATCTGTCGTTACTAAAAGAGCAGATAACAGAACAAAGGACATAAGAATGCGGCGGCGGTTAGAAATGGCGACGCGAGCCGACACACAGTCCGCCCCTCCCGATCACTTTTCGACACACGCTCACACACACAATATACAGTATTTTATGCGAACCTTTCCTTTCCTTCGAATGAAACATGTGGCGTCACCACCACTAAAATTACGGGTTTTTTAAACAATTTGTACAATACGTGATTACTGACGAACAATATATCTCACTCTATCTAGTACATTTCAAATCCAGTTGTATTTTTGTATCCAGTTACAGTTTATATGTAAATAAATACCATTTTTTCAAAAGACCCGGTGGACTCGAACAACGGAAAAAAGTTAGGAAGATTTTTGTAATTAAAACCAGGCAATCATTTATAAAAAATATTTTCATAAAGGTTCAATACAGAAAGAAGTCATAAAAGACATAAAAAGAAAAATTGTCGTAGAAGTATTCTCATAAGCAAAAACTCCGTTAGTCCAAATAAAATAAAAAATGAGATAGATACAAAAAATAATTATGAAAGTTGGCTATTTTCTTTAGCAATGACTATCAAAATAATATTGAAAATATCTTAAATACTGGTTTTAGTTAGAGTTAAAACTTTGCTTGAAAACAATTCATTACAAATTATGATAATCTAAATTTATGCGATTTATAATTAAAAACAATACAAGTTCAGAAATTAACAAAATTATTTTACATAATGAACACAGTAATAATAATGTAAATGATTGTCCAGCTATTTATAAAACAAATACAATTAGATACTTGGAATTGCACATTGATAATTGTCTAAAATAGTATATACATAATGAAAGTAAACAATCTAAGAGAATATGTTTATGTTTTTAAAAATATTAAAAATGTTTTGAATCATAAATTTAAACATATAGTATATTATACTTTTATACAGTCTATAATTACATATGGAATTGCATTTTAGGGGTCTGCATATCTTACACATATCAATAAATTAGAGACCACTTTAAATTCTTTAATAAAATATTTATTCAACAAGCCAAGATTATTCGCAAAAAATACATTATATAAATAATTAAAAATATTAAACATTACATTTCACTTCATTGATTGTATGTTTTACCTTAATCTTTAAGCATAAATATACCATATTACTACCTAATTATTCTTATTGTACTCATTATAAACTAATTTAACTATTTCTAAATTAAGAACTTGTTTGGCACAATTGGGTTCAGATTATATATTTGTAAGTTTTTGTTTTGAATTTAAAATTAATCCTCATAACTTTTATTATTTTCATAATTTTAAAAAAATATTACTTCCATTATTTGTAATACTATTTATCTTAGAATAAATTTATCGAAAAACATTGTGCATTATAATATAACACTTATTAATGTAAAACCAAAAATATGTAGTTAGTTCTGTCTTCTTATTTATCTTGTTACTTATATCCTTTAAATTTACAAACCAATATTATATTGAATTAATTTCATTGTTAATACTTATTAATTATTATTTATGTTTTATTCTTATTTTTCGTTTTTTTTTTTTTCTTACATAAGTTTATTGTATAACTATTATTATTTAAAATTATAATTTAATACTGTAATGACTCTCACTTCCACACAATCATAGGCTTAGAAGTAACCAACTACCAACTACTATATTTTTTAAATGTAAGTACTACAAATTATAAGACTATAATTGAAAAATAAATAAACATTATTTTTACATTATATTATTACACTTAGACCAAAAAAGGATTCACCAACTGACAAAAAGTAAGTTAGATATACTTAAACATTTCAGTTCCCTTGTTGTCCATTGCAATTGACATGTTTTTCATGTATTATTTATAAATATACTCTAATAGATAGGGATGTACTACTTAAACTATTGTACTCAGCATATTCTTTAATGTATATTAGAAGGCATGTAATAACTATAACATTTATTAAAACTCACTCTTAAACGATTTATAAAAAATTAATATATGATTTTGTATGTCTATGATAATGCATCACATAAAAATACAAATTATTAAGTAGGACACATGAATATTGCTTGAAATGTTAAGTACATTTATGTTTTTTTGGAAAAAAAAAATCACCAAGTGTCATTAATAATTCAGTAATATTTTAGAGACATTTTATTATTCTTTATAATTATATTTTCAATTTTTTAAAGTGTTATATTCAAAAAATTGTGCTGAAAATTGCAATATAACTGATAAATTATTTGTTTTTTCTTTATAAACTAATTTTATACCAAAAATCATCAATATTACAAAAAATTAAATAATTTCTGAAACATATGTGGGAAACATATAATTTAATATGTAATACGAATCATGAAATAAGTAACAAACACAATTCTATTGTAGATAAAATTTATACTAAATGAATTTTTATTATATTACTAAATGTAATAGGTATAGGACCACATAATTTAAAATTAAATAATTAATTTTAAAATTTTTAT